CATGGGTTCTGGACGGTACCATATGCACCGATGGTTGACTAAGAGCGTCTCATTATTCGATGACTCAGGTGGTTCTGTATATCCCGTTTGGCATCTTCCAGTGGTGATAACCATGCGACACATAATCGGTAACGAATCACAAAGCGGCCTACTTAAATTAGGACCGTATTCGGTTCCCTCCCTTTGCTACACTTATGTTCAGTAGCCCATTTTTCCCGTTACCAGAAAAAGATGGAGTAGCTTAGCAATCTTAATGTGGCCCTGATTACTCTTAAGAGAGACAGACGTAGAGAAACCGGATTATACAATAACTAACTGTTTTTGGTTTTCCCTTTACACTATGCATTGGTATGGTGTTCAAACTAGCCTCAGTCCTGAAACTTATGCAATAGACCGATTAATGGTAGCAAATACGTATAATGGACAGTAGCTACATCTATCTTACGGCGGTCTTGTCCTGTCTTACATGGAAGCAGCTGTACAGACGACGGACCCTATATGGTTCCCATCCCGTCCTTTAACTTTTTGTAGTGAGTAAACTTGTGTTGAGGCCCCCTCACAAGGGTCTTCAGTTAGGCTGATGGGATCCTGTCTCTTTACGGCGCTTTATCGCACTTGGTTCTTACCCATCTCCATGTAATGGGGAGGCCTGGCTTGGGATGAGTGGTCGTTATGCTGTTCTGAGTGCGTCAAGTCCTCCTCATGGCAATATATACTTTCTGGCTTCCCGTTTCGTAGGACTGTCAATCTTTGACCAGTGCAGATCTCTGGGAACCTGGTTGATATGACTGCCAATTACCCACTAAAGACTGCGGTTTGGGTGTTAAGAGAGTTCGAGGCCCGTGGTCACTCTGAAGACTGGTTAGTGCATGGCCCAGGTGGCTCAGAAATCTGTAAGGGGTGCCAGCCTTGCCAACTTTGCAGACTGCGGAAAATGGGTTGGCGTTTGAATGAAGAGATCGAGATTGCTCCTAAGGACCCGCCGGGGACACCTCTCGCTGCAACTGATTTGACGTTCGACTATCTTGCAGGAAAAACCTTCACAACTTATACCTTCCTTCGGGTGAGAAGGATCGTGTTGAACTGGAGAACCGCACACACGCATGTACAGGGCTGTTGGTTAACCAAGAATATATATATACATATATATGTATATATAACTTCAAGTCATATGATCATTTATAACAGAAAATAAAATTAGCAAAAATAATAACAAGAACAGATTGAACTGGAATTATACAACGCACATGTTCAATTTAACATAATTATACCTTGATTCATTCCACTTCTCCATTAGCACTTAATAACATGAAGGTCAAAGTTACAACACATCAGTAAATAATCATAAATTACTTTTTATCCTAAATGTTCAACTTTTAGTTTACCATATAACGATAACTGTTTTAGTGTAGTATAGAATAAAAGACCATATATATACTAAACAGTTGATCGCTCTTTTCATAAATTTATCGAGGGATTATTTTTGAAGTAGTTATAACAGAAACAAGTAAAGGGAAGACAGTGGCATACAAAAGAAGTGCTGAATTCAACCAGTCAGTCATATGCTACACAGAACCCCGCATATAAACGCGTCAGTTTAGGCTGCCTAAACACATTGGCGAAGCAGGATAAAATTATCAGGACTAATCGCAGAGTGATAGTAGAAAAGGTTAGGTATAAACGGTGAGATTCAAGGAGGAAGAAAATTTTGTGGAAAAAAAATAATATGTAGAATGATTTTGAGAGAAAGGATGTACGAGAATAGAAAATAAATGAACCTCCACCATTGTGACTGATTCTAGACCGTGATGCCAAAAGTCAGTAAACATTGATGACGAAAACTGTTAGACAGAGAGACAGACGGAAACAACAAAGAACTTCGTACGTACGTACATCAGTTCAGGTTGTCAAACCGCATTAGCACAGAGACGCAACTGTCAGTTCAAATCACATAGCGGTAGCAATAGCAGGAGTATTAACAGTAATGGAGAAGATTAGGGTTCGAAAATGTGATTCGAGAAGTGTAATTCAGTGAGATAAATTTAGAAAGCAGATGGAGATGATGAGGAATTCAGGAGGTAAGAATTTCATAGAACACAAAGAGTAAATGTACCTGCGCCACTGCAAATGATTTTGAGCCAAGTCATTCAAGGGCTCTAACCATCAGTGAATTTCGTCTCGCGGACCCCAACTAGGTAGTCGACGCCTACCAACAAGACTAAGTCCACTTGTCAGTGATTTCATGGATTGTCTCACTATACTCGAGCAATGCTTCGGAGACAACCATTATCGAAAACTAGTAACCTACGAATATCTTCTACTCTCATTGGCCATGTTTCACAGCCTTATAGCAGGACGGAGCGAACTACTGCACAGTACACCTGTCCTTTAGTCAGCAAACGGATATCTCGCCTACGCCATAAATGACGCAGGTTGGCAAAAGCCAATCGAGCATTCTGTATCCGAGCTGAGATTTCATCAGTCACCAGGCCATCGGCACTGATGAGACTCCCAAGATAAGTGAAGTGGTCTACACGTTCGACTACTTCACTCCCTATCACTAGTTCAGGTGCCGATGAAACCCAATCTTGAAGCAACATTTTGCATTTCGAGGGTGAGAACCGCATCCCGAACATGCTTGCATTGTTACTTAGGGTAGTCAGAAGACTCTGCGTTTTGTCAGCGTCTTCACCGAATAGAACTATGTCATCAGCATACTCTAAGTCAATAAGCGAGCCTCCTGGTAGGTCTACTCCTGAAGAGTCAGACGATGATAATGTAAATTCTAAAAGGATGTCTACGACAAAGTTAAACAAGAATGGAGAGAGTGGACACGTCCAGGTCGATAACTAGGCTGGTTTTCTCCAAGTCTGCTCTTCACGAGCTCTAATTAGTAGTCTAAGGATTATCGAGACCGACAATGTAGAAATTATATTAGTTAGACTGATTCTCCTGTGATTGTCACAAGAAGACTTTTGTCTCTCTTATAAATTGGGACAATAAGGGATTGAGACCAGTCGGATAGGATGGCGTCCAGTTCCCAGATTCTACCTAAGATCCCAGTCAATCTAGCTGCTAAAACTGGACCACCATCCTTAAAAATCTGTGTCAATCTATCGGGTCCTGCTGCTCTCTCTCACTTCAGATTTCCTATAGCCTTTTCAACTTCATAAAGGTTCGGAGGACTTACGTCGACTTGCCATTCAGGATGACTGGAGATCGTGGGTAGTCGAAGTGTGGCTGAAGCTCAGTTGAACTGATCCCTAAATTGTTCTGCCCATCTATCAAGTCTCCTGGATTGAGAACGTATAATAAGATCATCCTTTTCCGAAATAGTCTCACTCACATTCGGGTTCCTAATACCGGTTTCCTTGATGAGTCTGAAAAGTGTTCTACTGTTTCCGATCGCCGCTGCCTTTTCCATCTCTCTCACTTTCGCTACCCACCACTGTCCTCGATCATTGTGTACTGAGTCCGCTCCTCACCGCAATCAGAATCAGGCGGGATGAGTTTTCGGCAGATGCTACTGAGATCCAAGGCTTCTTCCTAGATTTATGGTTTACCTTACTAGCAGATGTCACTGCCCTTTCCACAGCCTCTTCGATATCATTCCAACCTACCTCCGGATGGAAATTGCTTACATGGTCGCCTAACTGTTTTTCTGGTCCCTCCTGAAATGTATTACTAGTTGTGCTATCGTTAAGTAGAGCAATAGCAAGTTTCCTTGAGATATTTTTCTTGCGTCCAGTAAGTCGCAAACAAATAAACGCTCACACTAGAGCATGATCTGAATCTAGACATGTGCCCCAGAACGAGCAACAGTCATCTACCAAACCTCTCCATCGGTGTCTGATGGCAATGTGATCTAGTTGGGTCCAACGTTGAGACGACTTCGGGGGTCGCCAGGTGAAGGTATGCTTTTCCTTATGCCTAGTGTTTGCAAGAAATAGGTGGTTATCTGAGCACAGCTGCAACAGACGGTCGCCATTATCTGCTCTGAGCAGCGAAACCATAAGATCCATCCATCTTTCATTTTCACTCAGTCTACCTACTTGAGCATTTAAGTCACCAGCCATTATAACTATATCAGAGCGAATAGGTTTTTGCAGGAGGTCCGAAAGCTTTCTTTAAAACTCATCTTTCACCTCGTCTGAACTGCAGTCAGCGGGAGCGTAGGCGGAGACAACGAAGAGGCAACGGCCAGTGCCCCCATCTTTCCAAGTCCTTACTGTCCCGTTTAGTCGAAAAGCGCACAAGCGAATATCTACTGGAATCCAGTCTAGGAGAGATAGTTCTACCCTACCACTCAATGCTATACCTACACCAGCGAGACCCAAAGAAGCAGCATCAGGGCTACCGGATACATGAAGAGTAAACCGAATCGCTTCTTTATTATGACACGGTGAAATCAAATTAATGATTTTACTGAGATCCTCCATGCGTGTTTCGAAGACGCAGCATACATCGATGGCACGAGATTCTAAAGTCCTAGCTAATGATGCCTGTTGCCCTACTCGACACAATGTCCCGACATTAAAAGCTCCAACATGTAGTCTAGAACGGGGTTTCAGGGCACAATCGATCAGTCTAAACAGTAGAGAAATAGAACCATAGCTAAAAGTAACATCAAACACGATGCTCGCAGCTGTTTTAAAGAACAAACTTTTGCCGAAATACATACTTGGTTAAGAACAATTACGACTGAAGTTCCTATACAAAATGATCTTTGCATAGATAGATTTTTAAAATCACATCGATTAAAATAATGTCTACTGGCTTTTACAAGAAGCAATCACAAATCCATTGACACTTCTAATTAAAAATTCACGAATACTATTAGATAGATATATAATTTTATAGGATTGTATTATAGTTTAAACAGTGACCGAATAAAAGAAAGTTTCCTGGATATTACAAGATATTATTACAGAGAATATATATATATATATATATATATATATATATATATATATATATATATAATTCTTTTTTCTATCATATTCGAAATAACCAACTCGGTATACACAGACGCCTGATATTATTATCGCCAACAAATCAATAACATTGTTGATTGAAAAAAGAGAAATGATAGTTAGAAAATAAATTCTAAAACACATGGTAAATATATATATATAAACCGAAGTATTCATAAACTTTTTGAAAGTCTGTTTTCGTAATATGTAGTAGGGTTGGACAGAGGAGACAAGTAGATCAATAGTATATATTATTATACTAGTGTTATAATCGTTTACAGATGAAGATTAGGATTCTCACAAACACAATATGAATCTATTGGTTTCGGACAGTGAAAATATCATTCAGTTTTGTTGTTGATTACATGTCAAGATAATTCCAATAATAGATTATTTATTTCCAGACTGATCAATATCACGTGCTTCACAGTCGTCATCTTGTAGTATTCGATGATAGCCTTCAGTAGAAATTGCATCTAAATCATCCAAATTATTTGTCTCCCAGTAGACTAATTTTTCAGCACCTGAATTATAAGTGAATTAATTACAGAAATCAACGAAAAAAAAAAATTTCCAATGAAGATGGTTTTAAATTTATTTTAAAACAAAAACACCCATTGGCATTAGTATGTATGTACAATCAACATAAGTCATCATCAATAACTAAGAAAGTATGGTGGATAGGTAGGTGGATAGGTGCGTATACGTAAAACACAACTTAACCACCATTTCAATCTGTAAACATTTACTACCTCGTCAATGGTTTATTCATATTATTGAATAATTGACAATCAATAAGTTATCAGTCATAAAACAACTAATGATCAAATATACTATCATATTATTACACTATTCCATAGATCTTTGATGCAAATGTTCGGGTGAACATGCATAACTTGACAAAGTATTCGAAAGAATGCAGTAATTAATTACGTTGCATTTAAGGTTATGAGATGAGATAAATTGATGACAACTGCAATTACAGACAGATAGACTTTTCACAAGAAATAACATACAAAGTGTGAGTCTCCTTCGGGAAGAAATTACGTGTGAATAGTTAGTACACTATTAGGCTACAATGTGTTCTCTTCATGATTGGAATTGAAGAAAATAAGACTGAAAATCTACCTGCCTGCAATGGCTTTACTCTACAAAATTAACAGTAAAAAAAGTCATTACTTTTCTTCCAAATTACAAAAGAATCAAAAATACAAACGAATGTTGAACAAACTCACCAACAGAACGAAATCGTTTCTTTTTATGACGAAATATTCTAAAAAGACTTAAATTAGAAGCATCTGAACGACGCGGTTGACTCAAAGCTGTAAATGTACCAGGACTGCCTATAAACAAACATATAGAGAAATAGAGAATTTTATTAAATGGGTTTTGCAGAAATCAGTTAGGTATATGGGTGGTATTAATTACAGATCATTGTAACTAATTGCACCGCATAACTGTCAGAATATCTCACAAGCTGATTGAAGCAAAAGTCGTAACATTCAGTCAATGCTCACTTAGTGATTCAACTGATCAGGATTTGCTGGGATACCTGAAAGTCTTGGGTTCGATAGCCGGTAGAATCGTGGATACAACACACTGCTGAGGAGCTGCATATCAGAATCAAATTTGTTTAGTACTTTTTATCTACCAAGCTTTTTATTTTTTCTTTTACAACAACTTTACACAAAAGCAGTGATAGTTTTTAGATTATGATTATTTAATAGTTATTTCGGTTCCTTTGATGTTACATACACACAAACAAAAAGTCAGTATAAGTTTAATTGTTAAAAAACAAAATTTTGAACTTTTAAATACACACGTATTTGCGGCAAAAACAAGAATTTTCATATAAAAAAAAGATAGGTCTACACTACCAATTTACGTGTACTTCTAAGAAAAAGTGTTATATCTTGTGGCTGAGCTACAAATACACAGGCCTACTGTAATTGTTAAATTCATATGATGGGAATTTCATAGATCAAGAATTGATATACCAAATCGTAAGAATTATCCACACAGGAAAATGTAGGTAAAACCGATATTCAAGCAGACTGATATATGTATAGCAATGAAAACATGACCTTAAAGAATACATAAAATTAGCAAGTCAAAAGTACTGACAATGGAATCAATCAGAAAAGCAAGAATACCGAATGAACATTTGAATTAGGTAAAAAAAAAGCAGTTGTAGTTATCGTGACCAATAGGACTAACAACATTTTTATTTTACAAAAAAAATGTGAATAATTGTTGGCGAAGAGAAACATAAATAATAACAGAAGTGCATAATCAATCAACTACATCTAGTTATTTCAAATATTTCAAAATTCAAAATATAAACAACTTGTATTTATTTGTTTTTGTTTACGATATTCAAATGAAACGGAGCAAAAAAAAAACAGTAAGTTTTTATCGATGACATTTTCAGTATATCGAAAATATGGCATTACTAAATCACAGCGAAAAGAATGCTCATCTGTCGTTTTGCTTTAAACAATACTGTAAACATTCTTTGCTACCCCAACGCTAAGCGATAATTACAATAACTTTGTGCAAAATTAAGTTGGCTAAATGTAAGAAAACGAAGCTCGTTGTTTTACATTGAAATCATGAAACAATCGTTGTTAGACCACCAGTAGAAACCTGCAAGCACTGAACGGTCGTTTTGTTCTGGTATGAGACTCCTCAGTGGCAGTGCGCATCCACGACTCATGCTACTCCCAGGACCTTCGATCTTGCGTGCGAACATTTAACCTCTGGATTAGTGAGCCCATATTCAACGGTGTAACGACTAACTCTGATTAATCTAAGAATCTTGCGCAACCTCACCGTGTTATAGTATTATAACGAATATATACTTCATCAAACTCACTAAGATTTATTTCGGTAAAAAAACATTGCATTTACAATTCATCGTACTGACTACTTAAAAACAAAAAGCCGTTTTAGCGCTTACCAGCAGCAACGTAAGTAGGTGGTGGTACAAAATGTACAGGTGGACCGAAAGATGATACACTAGAATGTGGAGGAACCGGTGAATCATCGGATGCTTCTAATTTACTTTCTCTTCTAGATAATAAATCTGAAAGGATTGTAGAACCACTAGATAACAGTGGAGAATCTGAATCGGTAGTTAACTGAGGTTGCCAGTTACCAGTTGCACCGACAACAGCCATAGCAGAAGCAAGTGCAGCTGCAGTAGGTGCCGCTGTAGAATCTGCGGCTAAAGAACTTAAGCCCGCCACTACACCAGCAAGTTGACGTGAAGGACCAAGTAAAGCCAAAGAGCTGACATTACTGCAACTACCAGTTGGCTCGTCCGTTACTGAACGTTTCGCTGAACGCAAGACACTTGAACTCAATATACGTGTTGGCTTTAGACGACTGGCTAGAGAGTGTGGTCTTGATGATGCAGATGGGTTATCTAAACTTATTGGTGAATCGACACGAAGCAAATTACTCGCTGATTCCAAATTGTTCGGTAAATTAGTGCCAATAGAACAGAGTAGAGCTGAGCGTTTACATAAAATATCACCCTGTTTGGAATCTGTCAAGAACATAAAAAGTCACAAGTTATTCAATTTATCAATTATTATTACTATGGCTACTATATAGAAAAAACAACAGACTAATTTTTTGTGCTCAAAATTGTTCACGTAAACTGACTCCAGAAATGTGGTTTGTAACGAATAGATATAAAATAATCTAGTTAAGTAGATAAGTTCGATTTATACAAAACATTAACTAGAAAGATCATGTAGTAACAAACAGCAAAAGGTTCATTGGACTGGGTCATACAAGTTCAGACTACGGTTGGTGTTTGCATAACTGTCGTTATCAAATATTAGACACTTGAGTAACATTGCTCAAGATCGCTAACAATGACACAGGTGCATTTCCACTCTCTTCCTACAGTGGATTCCAAGTCCCCTAGTTATTTCAAATTTATTTTTAATCGTATCTTGGATGCTTAATCTTCCCGATTACCATTAATCCTGTTACTACTACAACTTTTACTACTTTAAAATTGGCTCTGACAATTTTATGTCACTATGTTAATCGAATGAAACAACTTGAAACGATATTCATACATCCCGGGTTTTATGTTGTGTTTGACTGATCAGCTGACTGATTCAAGAGTACATCCAAATCAATATCAAACTAACTAATAAAAAAGATTTAACTCTTATAAAATCTAAATTCTACCATCATATGACTGGTGGTAAGTTCAAACACATCTTGAACTTTTAACATTGAAAAATGCTTTCATCAGGAGGGTAGTATATGTAATCTTAAGAAAACTAATGTTAGTGCAAAAAGCAACCATTCATTTTTCAACTCATAACATCAATCAGAATGTGAACTTAAAACAGTTTCGAAAACGCTGAGGTTACAAAACTACAACTCACCTATTTTACTCCCAGACGGCGTATTGGTATCAACCAAAGTAGCGGTCTACAAGAGATTGAAGTTAACATTTTATTGAATTTCACCATATACCGTAAAATTATATGATATATACATGAACAATAAAAAGGTCAAGTGATAACTTGACGCTACTGTGTTATGACTGTCACTTAAACTCCGATTATAACAAGGTGTCAAACTTATGACTTTTCAGAATAAGTTATGATTCGTTTGACAGCAGCATTCATTATTGACAACAAACACAGTAGTGACGGTATTAATAGCAATAAGTACTTCATAGTTTAATTTAAAAAGAACGGAAAAGATAGACCATAAAATATAGAGTAGCAAAAATTAGAATTTTTCATTTGAAGATTACCCTGAACAAAGTGTGAAGAGAAAAATGGCTGTCTATCATTATCTAAGATAGTTTTTGAATATTAGTTACGTTTAATTATGAAGCATAATATATGTCTGAATCTTTTTAAACATATTTTGCAGCATTTAAAGAGGATAAGTCAGCCTATCGGTCAGTTACAACGTAGAACATTCATTGTATGTTCGTATATCACTTCGAGTTACCATATATCTCATTAACACAAATATCGAATTTATCAATTCAAATCCCATAGTGGTAGTATTAAAGTAGTAGAAAAGATTAAGGTTCGAAGATATGATTCGAGAAGTATGATCCAGTGAAATAGATTTGAGACGAGAAAGATGAGGGGTCATGAGGAATTCAGAAGATTAGAATTTCAGAGAACACAAACAGTGGATGCACCTGCGCCATTGCAAACGATTCTGAACTATGTCATTCAAGGTCTCTAACCACTGGTGACTTTCGTCTCTCAGACCCCGACCAGGTAGCCTACATCTACCAACATGACTCAGTCCACTTGTCAGTGACTTCATGGATTTGTGCCATGTTTTGGTCTGGCCTCCCCTAACTTTCTTCCATCCTACTCCAGCACCACAAAACATTGCTCGTTGAGACAGACGGTGGTTAGACATACGTAACACATATCCCAATCACCTCAAATGATGGAGTTTCAATAGTTCACCTATTGATATGCCATCTCTACCTAGTACTTGTTTCCTAACGGCAGCATTGCTTACTCGGTTGTCCGAGGATATACGAGCAATGCTTCCGAGACACCAATGATCAAAGACAATCTACGAATGTCTTGTACTCTCACCGGCCATGTTTCGCATCCATATAGTAGGACGGAGCGGACTGCTGCGCAGTAAACCCGTCCTTTGGTTGGCGGACGCCAATGCCAAAAATGACGAGAGCTGGCAAAAGCTAGTCCAGCCTTCTGCATCCAGTCACAAACCAGAGCATCAGCACTGATAAGACTACCGAGATAAGTGGAGCAGTTGACACGCTCAGCTGCCTAACTCCCTATCACTAGTGCAGGTGCCGATGCAACCCAATCTTGGAGCAACATTCTGCATTTCAGGGTGAAGAATCACATCTCGAAAATGCTTGCATTGTCGCTTAAGGTTGTCAGGAGACTTAACATTTTATCAGCGTCTTCACCAAATAGAACTATGTCATTGGTATATTCTAAGTCAACCAATGGAAATATAAGCAAATGTTTAACTCCTGATGAGCCGAATGATGAGTGTTGTCTCTAAAAGCATTTCGATGACAAAGTTGAATAGGAGTGGTGAAAATGGACAGCCCTAACAAACAGCACTCAAGAAAATCACTTTGGATGACAGATCGCCATAAGCTGTGATTTGACCATTAGTGTTCGAGTACAGATCGACAGAGTTAAACGCCGTTTTACGGTCGAGGAATACGACTGTCGGGCACCTGAATCTGTGACTATGTTTTAGAACCTGACGTAATGTGAATACTTGGTCTATAAATTCTCGTCCAGGTCTGAAACCAGTCTAGTTTTCTCGATTCTGCTCTTCACGAGCAGATCAGTCAGATGAAATAACACCCAGTTCCTGGATTCTACCTATGATCTCAGTCAATCTAATTGCTGAAAATGGACCATCATCCTTAGAAATCTCAGGGGTTAATGCACCAGGTCCTGCTACTTTCACTCACCTTAGATTGTCTATAGTTTTTTCAACCTCATTAAGAGTTGGAGGACTTACATCAACTTGCCATTCAAGTTGATTGCAGATGGTGGGTAACCAAAGTGCCTCTGAACGCCAGTTGAAATGCCCCCCAAAATGCTCTATCCATTGATCCAATCTCCTTCATTGAGAATGAATAATAGTCCCGTCTTTCCTCGACTCCATCAGTCGGGTTCCTAATACCAATTTTATTGATAGGTCGGAACAGCTGTCTACTGTTACTACCTATCACCGCTGCCTTTTCCGTCTCTTCTGTTTTTGCAACCCACCACTGTTCTCGGTAATTTTGTAGGCTTCTTACGAACCTGTGTTTAATCTACTTCCACTCCTCAACTTGTTCAGAGCCAGACGAATGAGGTTTTGTGACCCGGTGTTTGACTCCGATTTGTACGAACGATTGAATATGCTACGAAATAAATCTTTCCTTGGATTTCCGTATATTATATTTTGGCTAACTCCGTTTGTGCCACTGAGGTAATCAAAAGCTGAATACGGTTTATTTTGGGTGAATTTACTTCCTACATTCATTTAAGCAGACGGACAATAGAGAGAATCGTAAAAGAGAAGCGATGTTAGGTGGAGAAGACGAGTGGGCCAACCCGATGTGACGAGGCATGACTAAGTGCTTACAGTCAGACAAAAGTCGGCTAGGCATGTGATAAGAGAAATAAGCAATGCACACACACAATGAGAAACAACAAAGATTATAAGCAAGTAATCGACGAGGTGAAAAGATGTGCAAATAGTAAGTCGAGAATGGATTAATTAATTTATTCAGACGCTGAGACAAGCTATGTATGCTCGACATCTTCGTGCACAATACAAAGCCCGTTTGCAGAAAACTGCATATTAATTTGAAAAAAATGATAGTTTTCAAAAATAACACAGAAGAGGTATGAGGTCAATTAGCGAAAAATTGTACGATTTTGGATAGAGTACATGAGAGGTGAGAGTATGGTACGAAAGTGTCATACTTAAGTGACAAAATATTAATATTGTATAAGCGTGGACACAAATAAAAGTGGTATCAGCAAATCAATCAGCGAAAAAATTAACATGTGTTTACGTTGCGACTGTTTGGGCAATAAATTAACACAATCCTATGGATGATTTAGAATAGCGAGAAAGTAACAAGAGACTATTTGTTTGCTGTTTGTGTGTATGGGAACAGCATAAATAGTAAAAATAAGTGGAGCAAAATACAAGGAAACTCCACCTGGAGGCCTGCTAGGGATACTGCCGGTCCCAAGCCAAGATAAAGTAGGAGAGTTGGGAATGGGGTTAGCGAACCTGTCCTGTCGAAAACTAACTGGCTTGTTACGCCTGTACGTAACGCGTCATTTTGATATGCTTGAACTATTACGAGTTTACCTAGTCGGAAAACGAGAGCGAGGATCGAGGATCCGGCGACACGACATACTACTCAAATCCGATTATTCCAACCCCCATATTTAGTAGAAATAAGAAGACGTGATATGAAGTAGAACCTGTATTCTACAAGCATCCAGAAGTACGAGGTCCGAATCCAGAGAGAATCAGGATCCCGGACTATGGATCCGGGACCGGGTCCTGGTCCTGGTCGAATGAGAAACAGCATCGAAGTCTGTGACATTGACAGTTAAGACAACCAATAGGAAGTAACATTTGAAATGACATTGATAGTCAGGACAACCAATAAGAAACAACATTGGAGCACGTGACATTGATATCTAGGACGACCATAAAATTGACCAGTAGGAATTAACCAATAGGAATTGGCCAATAATTCTCTTAGGATATTGGATGAATATCCTAACATGGCTAGAAAACGCTGACCCCAGAAAATTATTCAAACCATCTAAACTCTGACCAGGCAGTTGGAAGGCCTTCGTTCAGAATAGTAATGACGCCGCATGATGAAAGCCAAGTTCCTTCGGAAGTCACAAGGTCGATGCCTCTCCTCACAACCAGAGCAAACATAAATTTAGGTACATTGAATGTTCGCACAATGTAGGAGACCGACGGAACCATTCAAGCCCCTGCAGAAATGCAAAAATACAACCTGGAAGTTCTTGGAATCAGTGAAACACATTGGACGCAGGCTTGACAACAAAGACTAGCTTCAGAAGAGATGCTGTCTTACTCCAGTCATGAGAATGCCTTACATACGTAAGGAATTGTATTGATGACATCCAAACGAGTTCAAAATTCACCAATAGAACGAGAATCTCGTGGATCCAGGATCATTGAATCATCCTTCCAAACAATGGAAGAGTAGGTCAGAATGAATGCCATTCAGTGTTATTTGCGTACCAACGATAACAATGAATACGACAAAGATTAACTCTATTCGAGGCTTCAGTCAATCGTAGAGAAATGCTCAGTAAAGGATTTGATGATTCTGATGGATGACCTAAACGCCAAGGTTGGAACAGAAAACACAGGATATGAAGACATCATGGAACAACGTGGACTGGGAGAAAGGAACGAAGATGGTGAGAGATTCGCAAACCTACGTGCCTTTAACAAACTAGTCATAGGCAACACAATATTCCCACATAAACGCATACACAAAACAACAGCAACACCATAGATGACGGTTGTCCGAGAGGGACACCTTACTGCTGCTACGCCCCGTCTATAAACAGCCCTTAAGTTGCTTCTTTTAGTCTTACTGTTCTTCAATCGAACTGAACTAGTGATAGGGAGTGAATCAGTCGAGCGTGTAGACCGCTTTACTTAACTCGGGAGTCTGATCAGTGCTGATGGCCTGGTGACTGACGAAATCTCAGCTCGGATACAGAAGGCTCTATTGGCTTTTGCCAACCTGCATCACTTATGGCGCAGGCGAGATATCCGCTTGTTAACCAAAGGACGAGTGTATTGCGAAGCAGATCGCTCTGTCCTACTGTACGGATGCGAAACATGGCCGGTGAGAGTAGAGAACTTCCGTAGGTTACTAGTCTTCGATCATCGATGTCTCCGAAGCATTGCTTGTATATCGTGGGACACCCGAGTGAGCAACGCTGTTATTAGGACACGGGTTCTATGTAAGAATGGCAGATCAATAGATGAAGTAATGAAACTTCATCAGTTGAGGTGGTTGGGACATGTGTTGCGTATGCCTAACCACCGACTGCCTCGACGAGCTATGTTTTGTGGTGTAGGAGTAGGTTGGAAGAAAGTTAGGGGAGGCCAGACCAAAACATGGCACAAATCCATGAAGTCACTGACAAGTGGACTGAGTCATGTTGGTAGATGTAGGCTACCTGGTTGGGGTCCGCGAGACGAAAGTCACCAATGGTTAGAGACCTTGAATGACATAGTTCAGAATCGTTTGCAATGGCGCAGGTGCATCCACTGTTTGTGTGCTTTTTAATTCTAACCTTCTGAATTCCTCTTTATCTCTATCTTTCTCCTTCTAAATTTATCTCACTGAATTATACTTCTCGAATCATATCTTCGAACCCTAATCTTCTCCTTTGCTGCTAATAATTCTACTATCACTATTACTCTTGGATTTGAACTGACAGTTGCGTCTCTGCGCTGATGGGGTATGGCAACCTGAACTGATGTACTTATGTACAAAGTTCTGCGTTGTATCTGTCTGTCTGGCATAATAGGACCTAAGAGAACAAGACAATATAGCTCGGTTGAGTCATCATTATCAGCAAGCCCGAACACGTGGAAAGGAAAGCTACGGTCGGGTTTAGGGAGGAAAAAAGAAACTTTTCTTAATCTCAGATAAACATGTGCAAAATGAGATCGAAATCGATTTTTTCATAGTCGCAATCACAAATGGATCGTAGCTACACCAATATTTGAAACTTGGAAGCAATGGACGGCCGTTTTGTCTTAGTATGATTTTCCTTAATAGTGCGTATCTAAGACCACTGCACTTGAGAGTCGAGCCCATGAATCGATCGGAGTTATACACTAACACAATTGGAAACCGACTCGGTGGTCTGATAACTACGGGTTTGCGCGCGAAACCAAAGGCCATGGGTTCCACTTCCTCGTGCGGAGGACGTGGACACACAGTGCTGAGTCCCATAATGGAACGAAGCTGCCGTTCAGTGCTTTCAGGTTTCTAATGATGAACTAGCTTAAATAAGTTCATGATCTCAACCATGAAAATAATGCACTACTTACAAATCCTCTTCATTAATAAAATGGTTGTTTAATGCTGATCAGAAATCCCACTACTTAATCTATTTCATCTAATAACTCGTTATGCGATTATTTTATAAATGTGAACTGAGTTTCAGTTGGCACCGGAACTTAAATGATGCCTTAATAGCTAGAGCCATTTAGCTATTGAGTACTACATCCCAGGCTCGAATCCTGCTAAACCTTATCGACTAGTTTATTAGAAGAAATCTCAACAGTTAAACTCTGCCACAAACTCGTATAATTCCTCCATAAATTTACATTTAGATGTGGATAAACCATATTTGTTACGAACAATAGATATTTTAGAAAATTATCGAATTGTTTAGGGTATTTATTTTTTCCTTCCCAAAGGTAACGAATCGTTCAATTAGGTACATTATAGGATTGTCAATATTCTACAACAAACGTGTGTTTTGCCTTATAGTGGAAACCGTTAACTAATAAAAATCGATAAAAAGAAGTGAAAAATTATAAATGAACATTAAGCATACGCATACATATACAAACACATGCTAAAAGAAAAGGAGAACTATAAAACGGACACCCGAATAATGTGCAACCTTATAAGATAATGTCAGTAGTCTGTGAGCTAATGCTACACCGAGATTTAGAGTGTATAAAAATGATGTACACATACATATGTACACACACGAAGGTTTGTTTCAGTGTATGATTAACAAACATATTGTGTTAGACCATGGGGTAAAGATGGAGGTCAAACTGAAAAAATCAATATTATTCGTCAAGCTAAACAACAATTCACATTTTGTTATGCTTTATACTTAAAATAAATGGGGATTTTTAAGAACACAAAGGGGAAGGAGAATGGGAAAGAAAGAAAACACAAGAAAAGAAAACTATATTTATCATCCTTCAAGGATAAAAAAAATTGGTTGACAAAAAGCACAGTAATTTGAATGTGTTGTATAAATAGAAATAAGATTTATCCGCTTTCTATTTAAGAGGAACAAATAAAATAGACACTTTATTCCATCAAGAAACAAATAGACTAATTTGAAATAGGCAAGAGATACATAGAAAGCGAGTGCGAGCATGCACGAATATCACCATATACAAGAGAACAAGGGTGAGAGAAAAAGTAAAATCGAGGATATGAAATAAGGAGACACTTTGACAATAATCACAACATATGTTCCTTATGCCCATACATTTTAAAAAAAAGATTTAACAAAGCAAATAAGATAGAATTAAAAAAATTAAATAGGCAATAATTCTTCAATTGCATAATCTATGACAAGAAAAAAGATTTGTAACTGGAAGAGAGAAAAGCAACAGGTGTTGCAAGATACAACTTGAAATTTTTCCTATGGTGTTTGATATACAGGGCTCTTCTACATGAGAATACTAAACAGTCAGTTAGTCAATCAATGCAAAAGATGCATATTAAGAGAGAGAGAGAGATGTCTATTCAAAATACAATATTATGTTGGACATTAAAATGAAATATATCATTCTCATTGGACTGGATTCAAGTAAAGACAGAAAATGAGTGACGAAATTGTTTGATAAGTTATAGCTTCAGATACCTGGTAATTTACCATTAGATAAGTGAATTGAAATTCGAATTTAATGAGGAGCTGGAAGTAATTTGACTGTGAACTGATAAAAACTCTACCCAATGATTGTGGACATAAAAAAAATTAGAGGCACATAATGTATTGGGTTAAGGATTCAGTCAGTCAGTCAGTCGGTTGCAACGTAGAACTTCGTACGTATGTACATAAGTTCAGGTTGCCATACCACATTAACACAGAGACGAAAATGTCAAATCAAATCCCATAGTGATAAATATAGTAGAGGTATTAATGGTAATAAAGAAGACTAGGGTTTGAAGATATTACTCAAGTATAATTCAGTGAGATAAGGTTAGAAAGACAAAGGTAGGGGTGCTGGTGAATCCAGAAGATTAGGATTTAAGAGAGCACAACGAATGGATGCACTTGCGCCATTGCAAACGATTTTGAGCCATGTCAGAAGTAAAATTGTCTTAACTCTAAACTAAAACGATTGATGAAACTACAATTGAACCAGGACGAGGAATAAAATACTCTGTAAACCGATTAAGCTGTCCTTTGCCCTTATTTCAGTTGTCTACTATCCATCAATAGTCTATTTGAAATAATAGTAATGGGCTTCAACTTTCAGTCAAGATGAGAACGTTGTAATTAACCTAGAGCAAGGTAAAGCATCACTATCGTGATTCGACGTTGGACAAAACCTCAGAATCCGCAAATATTAGAGAGTTGTTGACTAACTAGCAGTCAATTCAAAACAAAAGATGCGGTTGGCTTCCACCATATCAGACCACGTTTAACAAGCATGATTTGTTTAATTATGCACCGAAAAAAAAACCATTCACAGCGCAACAATCTGCTCCTCTCCACTTTAAATTTAAGAAATATATCCATTGAACATAAATGTGTTGATATTCAATGAAGGAATTACACTAACTTGATGTAGACAGACTATATAACAAAGATATGATTTATCAAGAAAACCCAGAAATCCTAATAATAATAATAATAATAATAATAATAATAATAATAATAATAATAATAATAATAATCATATTTATATGCCTAGATATATTCATTTCATCAAAATAAAAATGTTTTCTATGGTGTATGATATTCAATATTCATCAGGTTATTCATACTACATACCAACACAAGTGAGCATGCACTATATGCACTTCGGTAATATCAACAATCTGAGTACATGCATAATGTTCCACTATCACGCTTCATACAAAGAAATATGCATGTAGAAAAAAAAACTCACTAGTGATTTTACATGACCGTCTACGATGTAGGGGGTTTTTTTGTAAAAAAAAAACGAGTTGTAAATAATGAGATATTTAAGTTTGCATATTACATAGTTTCTGTTAATATTTCACATAAAAATTAAACCAATAAGCATTTTACCTGATTCTGATAATCCTTGTAATACATGTTGTTCATTAGAAGAAATGGACTCTTTCAATTGTTCATTTAAATCACATGAAGAATCATGACCTTCAGAACTGGTTTCTGAAAACTTTGTTGTATCATAAATTAAAGATGATGGTATACTAGGATGTTGTTCTTCATCTATACTACGAATAGTGTGCAATTCATAATGGGCTCTTCGAAAAGAAATTGGAGATGAAAGGTTTCCAGTTTTTAATATTGCACTACTCTTGACTTCATTAATTGTGTCTTTTGATGATTTTCTAACGACATCAATATCTTTCGATGTGGACAAATTATCAGTTTCCTCACCAGAATCTGTTTGAATATTTTCAGTAACAGAATGCATTACATGTTCAGTTATATTTTTATTAGATGTTAAAAGTGTGGATTTGACATTTGGAAATTCTAAAGAAGGGGAATGTGAAAATGCGCTACAATGTTCTGTTGTAGGTTGATCTTGGTGGTGGTCATTAGAAATACTTGTAGGTTGTGAGACACGTGAAAAGAAACGTTGTGTTTGTGAAGAACTAGGAGATGCACGTGAGCGAAAATCTTCAGTAGCTTTTTCCATAAAATTGAACTAGAAAAGAGAAAGATTTATTGATTAAAGAAAAATTGCAAGTATGAAATTCGTTCTAAATTACAACAAAGAAGTAAACATAAATATGACATCATATGGGATTATAATTAAACGTTGACTAAAAATGATGATACTTCCAATCAAAATAGTTACGTCTAAGAAATGCGTTTCCAATTAATCGAATAGATGGAAAATGTGTACATTAGTCACAAAACAAAATACATATCTGATAAGATACTACAATTATGGCTATGAGAGTTGCTATGCTCGTCGACTGATATGCTTGAACTATTACGAATTCACCTTAATCGATAAACTAGAGCGAAGACAAATGATCCAGTGACACGATAGGCTATTCTGATTCGATTGTCTCCGACCCTGCTAACGATATCAAAAACTCTTGATACGGCGTAGAAAGTGTATTCTACAAGCACCCAGAAAATCGAGGTTTTTAAACACACAAATCAAGGTTATCTATACATCACAGAAATGTCCCTGAGAGAGCCACAAAAATAGCGTACTAAAATAATACATCAGCCAATAACATCTAAGGATTCTCCCGGTGGGAAATGCAATCTCAAGGTCGATTGATCAACATATGCGCTAAAACATAAAATCCAAAATGTGGACCTTTATCAAGTGAGTTTTGGGGATCTAACGTTCCCAACAGGAGTACAATAATATTTAAGAGAAAACAAACTTTCTTCAGATACGGTATAAATTTCTGCATGAGTAAAATATACTAATTCAAAAAGTGATTATAAACATAAAATAGACTGATAACCATAACTTTTGCTATCATGTACTTCAATATCATATGACGGAAAAAAAAGTAATTTTTGCTTAGTTCTGCTAGTTTGAAACTAATATGTGCCTTAAAACTACTTGTATTATTTATGCCTGCACATGAATCGAATATGGTTATCAACTTTAAATAATAATGTTGTAACGCTGCTACGTATAGCTATTCAGTCCTAACGGCGTCCAATTCAAATATCCCAATACGACATAAAATGCTATTTCCAAATCTCCTATATATCAGAGTGCAACACCGTGGGATGGAGTTGTTTATTGGGTCGAATACAGAAGAGAGGTAGGCAGGAGAAACGGAATTGGAATCCGAATCATCAAGTCTTTCAGATAGTGCGTATTTATACATTAAGGTCGAATAAGAAAGAGCATCAACGTCTGTGACATTGACAGTTTAGGACGACTAATAGAAAAGAACATTTGAATGACATTGACAGTCCAGATGACCAATAAGAGGCAACATTGAAGTATTTGACTTTGACAGTTAGAACGATCATAATTTCGACCAATAGGATTGTACTTCTAAAAATAGTATTCTTAGGATATTTGGTGAATATCCTAACAAATAAACACCAAGAAACAGCTATCCCTTCTTAATCTGTTTATTCGTTAAAGTATATGCACTATAATCTTAAACATAACGCTAGTTCAACAAGCTAATATATACCAATTATATGTGTAGTGTACAACATAGAATACGACTGATAGGGATATTGAGTGTAACGAAAGGTGAAATTATGATTATCAAACATTTGAATGGTTATACGCATGAGTGCACTAAGCCGTTAGTCATTGTGTGTCCCAGCTTTCCAGACTAAATTAAGTGTAGTGGCGTCTGAGTATGCGACGTAGTGATCAAGACTTATGCGTTTATACACGTCTACTTAACAGCGAAAATAAAAAACCATACATTGTGGTCAATTAACGGGGAAAAACAATAGGAACAGATAATAGCCAACTAAATAGTTTTGTTTGGATGTGAGTCTATGGTTAGTGAAAGATTTGTAGTTCACATAATATTTAGTATTTATATAGTATTTATATGCACTAAAACTAACCTCTGCTGTTATGCTAGGTATCGAATTCACAGAAAGTTGGCCAGAAGCATTTGTAGTAACAGAAATAATTTGGTTGGTTGGTGAAAGGCTGGTTCCTCCGCTGACAGATTGCACTGTAGATGAAGCGACAATGTTAGACATACTCGTACCTTCAAGCAAACTACCTGATCGGTCGATGAGTGGTATCTGACGTCGGATAGTATCACTTATATTGACGGAATTCGTTTCTGAATCCCCATCAGAACTAGGATTTGTTAACAAGTGCACTAACAGTAGTTCTGCGCGACCTCTTGAATACGATTCTATAATAATAAAGGTGAGTGAATACGTTAAGCGACGTAAAAACTCAAAGTAATTTCAGCTAACTATATTTAATGATTGAATCCGTTTAAACTAGTCAGTCAGCTACAACGTAGAACTTGGTACATGCGTACATCAGTTTGAGTTGCCATACCACATTTGCACACACAGATTAAATTAGCTATTTAAATCCCATGGAGGTAGTAGAAGTATTAGCGGTTATCAAGGAGAGAGAGTCTAAACTAGATTATAGTTGAATGCAATCGTTGTCATCCAATAGATTCCAAGTTTTTAAATTCCTGATAACTTTTTTGTTGTTTCATGAATGGAAATTTTTTCGTCGAAATACGTTCTGTGTGTCTAATTTTTTCTACTACCACTAATCCTGTTACTATCTCTACTACACCGAAATTAGCCCTGACAATTTCATCTCAATGCGCTAATGCAGTATGGCAACTTGCATTGATCTACATATATACTAGGTTCTACGTTGTGACTGACTGTATTCGACAAATTTTCTTGTTACAATAAATTTGGCGTGTAAATAGTGCTGTATCTGTTTAAAGTAGTGAACTAGATAGGTAGAGTATTGAAAACCGGACAAATATCATAAAATAAACAGAGGAAAAACCACAGTGACAAAAACGTAGATGTTTATGTATGTATATCTGAAACTTAATATGAGGTTCCAAGTCATAAAACTAGTTTGGCCACAAATTTCAGTGACAGGAAGAAAGAACTAGATCTTTTTAAATAAAAGACAAAAATTTATAGAACGAAAGATTGCCGCAACCAGTGATTGAGTGAGTGAAATTGGAAAAAGTGGATATAAAATAAAAGTTTAGAGAAAAGGAAATGAACAAACTACACTAAAACTCATTCATCCAATATGTGTCACAAAAATTACGATTTGCAATAAGAAGTACACCTAGTGAGCAATAGTTTAAAAGTTAAACAGTGCCAGTTTTCTTGTATCTTTAACTACTGACTTGCCTTAAGCTAAATGAAATTAATATCTAGTGCTTACAAAAGATAGATTAGCAGAAACGGAGTACATATCAAAATATATGTTGTCTTTGCTTAAAATAGGAATAAGAACCTGAATATCTGACTAAAAAGTTTGAATCAGATGAAATCTCTTGCAATTAATTACTTAGACATAATAAATGTGCACTGTCAAAGAAATACATCGAAAGATTTATATAGGGAAGGAACTCACTTTTTCGCTTGCCTAGCTCGAAAATTTCAAGTGCAATCCGTTTGGAGTTGTTATTAAGGTCGCTAAAATTGTTAATAAAATGTTCAGTTAAATTTTATCAAATAAAAAATACCTGATTATCAGACTAAAAAAAACTGAAAAAGTGAAGGAAAGCTACATTTAGATGGATTATATCATTATTAGATAGACAGTCGCTTTAAAAAAATTTAGAGAATAATTTATTTTCAAGGCACATTTTGACCATAGGTACATGTACAGCTAACTCGAAAAAAACTTGAATACTGTACTTTGAACAAAAATCAACGAGTCTAGTTTGTTTTTACAGTCATAACAGTCATATAACAGAATTCGTTTGAACAGAAGAGAGAAAAACAAATGTTATTAGAAATACGGTCAATCAAGCACTCAAATGTAATATATAACTCGGTACAAATAGATCGGTTCAGGCTGTACCATAGTTACAGTAGTAGTAGTAGTAGTGCTAAAGATTGGAGTTAAGCAATATGATCTAAGAACTAATCTGGGAAATAAAGTTTCAAGGTTTAAGAGCTCAAGAAAGACAAATAATAAATGTATTTATACCATTGCAACAAAATTCTGATTCTTGTTAACCAGAGTTTACAACAGCTGGGGTTACGATAATCACTGAGATCGTTGTCGTCTAGTTATATGGTCAGTTACAAGTTTAATGGACTGATACACGTTTTGCTTTGACCACCCCCAGCCTATGCTTCCACCAAGTCGCCTGTCGAGGTAGGTGGTGGTTGAACATACGTAATACATTTCCCAACCACTCTAGTTGATGGAGATTAAATGCCACATTAACCGATTCGCCAACCTTATCTCGTATCTACAGTCTCATCTCAGCACTGTTTACTCGATAATCTTGACATACAACAACTGTGTTTAGTACGTACCGATGAATAAACACTATTTCAAAAGATCATGTTCTGCAGCCATAAAATAGAACAGCGAACTAACGAACAACAAGCTCGCTCTAAATATACGGATGATGTTAGCTAGGTTTTTGTAAACAACCTCATGGTCGGATGACAAATGATTATGACTCTAAAGTAACCACCAGAAGCTGAAATGGTTTTTCTACAACATTTAAAAAAAAGATGCTTTAACTTACAACAACAAGTGTTGGTCCCAAAATAACTGCCCAGACATGGAACAATGAGTTGAATGTCTTTGATAGGGTTCATCCAATTCTACGACACAGTAAGCACCCGAAATGCCTGAATATCATTATTAAAAACAAAAAGATGTTTTTTTTTACATTCAATAAAACAATATATGGTTTGGATTTATGAATAAAGTCTGTGCAGAAAAGCATACTTGAACCGTTTTAAACTATGGGAAAAATAGGTCTGAATGACTGCTGGTTTGGGATAAGTATCAGATACAGTGAGTGTCACATTTGTAGTTTGAATATAAAAGCAAACAGAATAATTACTTTTTTAAGTCGTTTAGTTAAATGAAGACATTTTCGTCTAGTTGAAAAAATTTGGCTAGAACAGCTGAAATCTTTTGACGATATCGATAAATCGAAATAAATGTCCATTAAATTAGCAATTACTACATATATCACTTAGTTCCAGAGAGCGATTACTGAAGATAATTCTATCGTGAATCGGAATAAACACATCATCAGCCACAAACGTTTTCCACTATATTAGAAATCGATAAAATTATACTAACAACTCAAAATAACCGGTTGTTTTTAGTATTAGTTTGAAAGCGCACTAAATGCTTCATATTTTTTGTTTAATAATGAGATGTGTAAATTAATGCACATCAGAACATAAAAGGAGTAGAGTAATAAATAAGGTGAATATTTAAACCACTATATATAACGTTATATGTACCAGATAATTCCCTCCATTGTCAAGTTTATCAATATACAGAACCCTTGATGTCTGTGTTAGAATTTGACTTTAAAACAATATAGCCTTCCCACAATCTTACTAGGGAAATCAAAGTAAATTTTCCATCTGCCAGACTTGATATTTCAAAATAAATAAACTTACTACCTTGCATGTAGCTAAGGTCAGTCAGTCATTTACAACGTAGAACTTCGTACGTAAGTACATCAGTTCAGGTTGCCATACCACATTAGCACAGAGACACAACTGCCAGTTCAAATCCTATAGAGGTAGAAGTAGTAGAAGTATAAGAAGTAATAGAAAAGATTAGGGTTCGAAGATATTATTCAAGTATAATTTAGTGAGACAAAGTTAGAAACAGAAAGATGGTGATGAGGAATTCAGAAGATTGAGATTTGAGAGAGGACAAAGGCGCAGAGGACAAATGCGCCATTGCAAACGGTTTTGAGCCATGAGCCAAAGTCTCTAACCATCGGTAACCTACATCTGACAACATGACTTAGTCCACTTGTCTGTGACTTCGTGGATTTGTGCCATGTTTTGGTTTGGCCGCCACTAGCTTTCTCCCAACTTTCTCCTATGCCAAAAAACATCGCTCGTCGAGACAGTCGGCAGCTAAGAATCCGTAACACATGTCCCAACCACCCCGACTGGTGAAGTTTCAATTTGGTCTCATGTATTGTTACGGGTATGAGGGCGGATATCACTTCCCGGCTGCCCACACCGTGGAAGGGTGTTTCTTCAGAAACCTGAAAAGAAAGGCAGATTAGAGTGATCTTAGAGACCTGGAAGCTTGAATGCAGGGCCCAAGAGACAACTGCTTGAGGTCGATCATGCACGGCCCTTTTATGAGAAGTTTTTAAAGCGTAACTCCACTCTTGTTTAAAATGGCTTACTACTGGAGATGGAAATCCGTGAAATAAGTGAGGTGTGACATTTTTACGGTCGACCTTCTCTAACCCCTTCCTTCCTTGTGAGAAGGCAGCATCGCTGTGGATTCTGATTGTCCGAGGAAAACACCTTACTGCTGTCACACCCCTCTACAGTCAGCAGTTTGACTCCGCCCTCGGATCCTAAGTTGCTACTTTTAATTTCACCGTTCTTCAATCGACTAGCCTGACATGGTAGGACCTTCATGAACATATGTTCCAGCCAATATAGCTCGGTTGGGTCATCATGATAGGCAAGCCCGATCACCACGTCAAGGTAGCAGCTACGGTCGAGATGTAGCTAAAGAGGGAGGAGCCAAATCAGTCAGTCAGTCAGCTACAGCGTAGAACTTCGTACGTACGTACATCAATTTAAGTTGCCATACTACATTATCACAACGACGTAATTGTCACGTCAAACCCCAAAGTAGTAGAGGTTGTAACAGTTTTAGCAGTAATTGGAAAGATTAAGGATCGAAGATATGATTCAAGAAGTACAATCCAGTGAAATAAATTTAATAAGGGTAAAAAAGGCCATGGGAAAGATAAACCGAAATATACGTGACTATTCAGATGAACAGTTTTATGCATCTTATTTCACATTCAGTACCAATAAATTCCGTATAACAAGCGGGACGCCAAGACACAGAATCAGAAATGGCTACCAGGGTCGCACCGGAAACCGTACAGTTTGAGCGGTTTGAATGTAACGTATTTATTATGCGAAGAAATGCTAGTGTATGAATACAACATGGGACTAAATTGGCGGAAACGGGAACCATTTACGTGTTTTCCGAAAACTTTCTGTCTATAAAACTTTTAAAAGAACCCAATAATACACTGAACAAAAACAGCCAATGTTATACATTCGTAAAAAAAATCAAAACAACTTACTTTTTACTGATAGTTCTTCTGCCTTAACTACTTTAACCAGAAGCTTTTTGGATGCAAAATTGTTTCCCGTTCGTTCCCTCAAAGGTGACACATCTACTTTAGTATTTAGTTTACGTAGTGGCACTGAGTGACTGAACTCCGGCAACGAGTCTTTATGGTTAGTATTTTGAGCGACTGAAGTTTCAGTCTCTTTTCTTTTTGACACTTCCGTGTTGATCACCTCAGATTTATTAGGTGGTGTAGAAATAGTTCCCATCCGTATTTGAATCGCAGGTTCAATTTTATCACATGTTAAGTCCCGACAGTTTGCATCAGCAACATCTAACTGAAAACTTCCTAAATCTCGCTCTTGAAGCAAACTGGATGCTCCCTCTTCGCCATAGTACGATGCGGACCTGATCATTTTACATACAAATGGCCGTGGAGCGTGGCGAGCTACCAAAGACTGGCGCAAACGAGCATTATGAGCCAGTACAACTGGAGTAAATGATTTGTCTTCCTGAACTAATAACTGAGAACTTTGTTTTTGTGGAATCGCAGCCTCCGCTTCAGTATATCCTGCAGATTGTGACCGGTTGAGATCCTTAAAATTCGATTCACATGACTGTTTTTCGACATTTATACCAATCCAGTTGTGGATTGAATCTGAGGAATCTGCACTATTGAGTTCTCTACGCAGTGAAACATTCTTAACATAAAAGAAAAATACAAGTAGTACGTAGTTTTATCGAAAGTGCCAATGGATAGACAAACTGGCAAGGTATAATCAAACGACATGACAGATATCTTTGACTGTAGCTAATAAGAATTTTGCATTTTTAAAAATATGCATCAAGAGTCTTGCTTTCGCATTGTTATCAGTGAAATGTTATGCACATCAAATACCCCAACAGCGAGAACTGCTAAAATCATCATGGAGATTCACTGAATCGTAGTAGCTACTATTCCGCGGACAATCATTATCCGGCTTTTATTGGGATTCTCCCAATAAAAACCATTATCTGTGTACCAGATAAACCAGATGGCGAACATAAAAACACTTTAACGTTGATGAACCACACCCGAGTAAAAGAGAAGACTTGTGTGGAAGAGTATGGTAGCAAAGGAAGAATTAATTTACATTAAAGTTATCGCGGTTATAAACCGACTAAACCCAATGATTATTAATTACAGAATTTTTTAATTTTATTTCCGAAAATGAATGCTGGCACAATTCTTAAGAGTGAAAACATTGGAAAAAAAACCTATCTAAATTAGCCACTTGCCTTTATTTATAACATTTATCAGTCAGATTTACGGTTAATATCCGCTCAGTCAGATTCCTGGTTGCCAGCATAGATCATTTTAGAACCCAATTAAAAGTTGAAACTATTTGTATAAGTAGATATCGAATTTTACAAGCTATGAAGATTTGAGGAGCAGGTATTAACATTTATCGGTTGATTACTCTTCAGCCGTTCAGCCAGTCATTTACAACGTAGAACTTTGAACGTAATACACAAGTCCAGGTTGCCATAAGACATCAGCACAGAAACGCAAATGTCAGTTAAAATCTCATAGTAGTGGAGATAGTAGGAGAACTAACGGTAATGGAGAATATTATGGATCGAAGATATTATTCAAGAAGTACTGTTCAGTGAGATAACTTTAGAAAGATAAAGACAGAGAAGAGGAGGTATTTAGAAAATTAGATGCACCTGCGTCATTGCAAACATTTTGAGCCATGTCATTCAACATCCCTAACCATCGATTACTATTATCTTGAGGGCCCCAACCAGGTAGTCGACACCTACCAACATGACTCGGTCCAGTCGCCAGTGACTTCATGGATTTGTACCTAATATTTGTTTCCTAACGCCAGCATTGCTTGCTCGGTTGTTCCACCATACACGAGCAATGCTTCGAAGACATCTATAATCGAAAACCAGTAACCAACGAATGCCGTCTACTCTTACTGGCGGTTTCGCATCCATATAGTAGGAAGAAGCAGGGCTTCCAGAAACACGAAGCGTAAACCGCATTGATTCGCCACCTGCACAAGGTGAAATCAAACTGATTACTTTACTCGGATCTGGTATGCGCGTTTCGGAGACGCAACATACATCGATTGCACGGGATTGTAGAGTCCTATCCAATGAAGCCTGTTGCCCTACTGGACACAAGGTTCGAACATTAAAAGCTCCAATAAGTAGTTAAGAGCGGGGTTGAGACCAGGAATAAAGTTTCGTGAGCTCGAAGTGTTTGCTTCAGCGGTGCGAGGTGACAAAGGAACAAAAGAAGGGTTGGCCGTGGGGATAATAAAGTTATTAGATGTAGAAGGGATTCGGTTATGACCGATTCGGTTTCGCGTGCTTTTACGGGTATGAGGGAGGATTTTACTTCCCGGCTGCCCACACCGTGGAAGCGTTCTGGTTGTCAGAAAAGGCATCGGCCTCATGACTTGCGAAGGAACTCGGTTTTCATCATCTTCTAAATGAAGACCTTCTAACTCCCAGGGTAGTGTTTAATTGGTTTGGATTAGTTTTTTCTTGTTAGCGTTTTTCAGCGAGTTAGGTTCTTGTGGGATGGGGTCGCCAACCCCAAGCCGAACCCTCCTCCTTTTGTCCGGGCTTGGGGCCTGTAATAGCCCCAGATGGGCCCCAAATAACGACCTCAACAACTCAAGTTGTCAGTTAGAATGCAACCTAGTAACCAAGTATATCTGCAAATAACACTAGAATGGACACCGAACAACTAGAAGTGAATAGTAATAATTCGTTTACTAAGTAAAGTTTTGTTCAGACGACGACACTACCTGTAAACTGGCCAACGAGCAAATGGTTAACAGAATACAGTCCATTATACGCAGCGATGAACTAGACATATGAATTGGTTCAAGTTGCCATGATACCAGCACAGCGAGATAGAATTTTAGAGCCCAAACCCTAGGGTACTAGGGCAGTAACAGCATTAGCAGTAATAAAAAACGCTAGGCAAAGACGAATTGGTAAGTAAGGACTAGTGAAGTCCTAGAACAGTTTCAAATTTAGCAATACTCCTCATTTTCCTTAACATAATCGTGCGGAACGAGCGTTTAATTTACGACTATTTAGTTGCCTTGCTTTTGCATTCTTGAGACCTTCGAAACAATAATACGAAATGTCAAGATATTAAATTTACCATTATCTTTCTACGACAACAAGATCGAGAAGAAATTTAGGTGACAAAATAGGGCCTGGTTGAGAAGGTATTGCATGATGTATAAGTGTCGTGACCCCAAAAACGCACTCCCCGTGCTACCGCATATATAGAGCCAAGGTTCATCAACTTGAATACCAACCCTTAGGTGAATGGTTCACAGGTTTCAATAGCGCTTGATTAACCCCTTTGTAGCATATGATTTAAGACGTATTACACCAAAACGAACTTTGGTACGTTTATTTTATGTTCTACAGGCCAGCAACACTTGGGATATACGAATGATAAAAGATTCGTGATGTTTTGTCTTAAGTGAATTTTTCACAATGGAATAAATCACAACAGGCTGTTACGGTGTTCTTCTTTAATGAGAAGAATGGTGGTAGGTTTTGGCGTTGTCAGTGAGGCGTAATCGAAATTTATACTCAATAACCAAAACATAATGAATCAAGAGTACAGAAGACTGTCCCCACTAAAAAACTGCGTCCCCGTACTTTACTGTCCAAGTATTTATTTAAGAAATCGCTAGACGTGATATAGCCTGTATGGTTCATTCACAACCAATATTATTTCTAATTGAGTTTAATGTAGACAAACGTTTTCAAACCTGTACTAACCTGATCAGGTAAATAGTCCGTCTGAATTGAAGCCACCATAGGGTCTCTGCTAGGGCGTATGAGACTATCTGGAGACCAGGAAACAACTAATTCCGAGATTATGTCGATAAGCATTTGTTTGAATTTTGGTGGCTAGAAAAAGGAAATCCCAATTATAAGGATTTGAGCTTACAGATAAAGGTATTGCTGAGTTCATAAGTAGATCGAATTGTGGTGAAGATTCAGCGTACATTTTCAGTTCCAATAAGACCAAGTCATCAACTTTCAACTTACAGCACATCTAAAATTGGATATATTACCGTTTAACAAACCTTCATGTAGTAGTTCCTTAATGATAGTGTCACTTTCTGTGATGGTTCAGTTTGACTCGTGACTATATCTCCTTGCAAACACAACATCGGTATGGACACAAAAAAGTACAAAGTCTAGGCAATATAAGGACATAATGTATACCCACCACCCAACTAGATAAGTCTTCACTACGTGCTTCGAAATCCGAAATCTTTACATCGGACAGTGTGTATTCCGAAACAGGATCAAAGTGAATAAAAGTTTCTTTCTGAATAGTAAGAACACAAGCACTTAAAAACTTACTAAAGATTTGTTAATACTGTCATTAATTTTTTGCAACCAAATGTTGCACAACCCAGACGCTGAAAAATCACATGACTTATAAATTCGACGTAAACTCTCAATGTCTGAGGTCCCATATTTTAAGCAGCCTTCAGTTTTACGGACTTCTGTGCGACATTTAAGCTCCTTGGACCAAAATTTTTGTAGGGAATATACAGTCACAGATATTATTAAGATTATGGTAGAAATGAAAATGAGGCTATTAGTGGTCTTAAGGAAGACTTTAAGGTTCAGAAAGATAGAGCAAAATAGACTTTTAACATCTGTCCAGTTATACACAGCAATTTTAGCTATAATTGCCTCCATCCCATCATCGCGGCGTACACAACTGAGCAGCAGTTATACGCCCGCTATTTTCTAATACCGCGGCTACCTCAACCGTAATCTAATATCCAATATCTTTTTCACGAACTAGTTTAAACCGATTGTTTTCTGTTTCTCGTTCTTTCAGTACGTTTCCAGGTGTTTGGTAGTGTCAAATGAGTGGTTGTCTAGCCACTCGACTGTCTAATTCTAGTCAGCTCGCAGTTGATTGTGAATTTGCATGTCCCGTGATTTGAATGAAAACGTTTGTATCAGAGCTGCAGAGTTTCTGGACACCAGAATCTCCCACGGCAGGTTGTTGCTGATGTTCTCTGGTCAGTGGCTCCGAATTATTTTGCGCAGACCACTTAATAGTTCTCCAAGTTTCCGCCCAAATAGGTAGAACAGTCTTGACGTTTGCATTAAAAGTTGTGACTTTGGTATATGTTCATAGTTTTTCTGAGTTACAGATGTTCAGTTGTAGAAAACTTGCCCTTGGTTCGCTGGTCTAAGCCTTCACACCTGCGTCGGATCCACCTTGTGCATCAGTGTTGCTTACCATATATGCAAAGGCTTTTGCATCCTCTCAAGCTTCTTCATCAAGTGTGATTTGGTTGGCGTATGTTGTGTTGTATCTGAGTATCTTGCTTTAACCGTTTGTGTATGTTGAGTCCTACCGATGCAGAGGCTGCTGCTACACTGGTCGTCTTCTCTTGCATTTGCTGTTGCGTTTGCGATAGAAGAGCTACCTCATCTGCGAAGTCCAGATCGACCAGCTGCGTCCTAGCTGTCCACTGAAAACAATGCTTCCCTCCAGATGCCTCCTTTGAGATACTGACGTCTTCAAAATCCATTCAACCACCAGAAGAAAGAGAAGGGTTGAGAGTAAGCAACCTTGCCTGACACCAGTCTTCACCTTGAATGACTCTGTCACCTGTCCTCCGTGCACGATTTTGCAGTTGGATCCAGCATAAGAATTCCATATGATGTTGACTATCTTCTCAGGCACATAATAGTGTCAAAGAAAAAGCATCCTGTTCAGGCTATCAAATGCATTCTCTTAGTCAATGAAGTTGATGTAGAGTGGTGAGCTCCATTTAACTCATTGTTCCACAATGATCCGTGGTGTCTCATACAATTCGGTTGGTACATGATCGATCCCTACGAAAACCAGACTGCTCATTTCGAACTTGAGCGTCTAGTGAATCTTCTGTTCTGTTCAACAACACTCTGCTTAAAACTGTTTCTGGTATTGACTGCAGAGTGATGCCTTTGTAGCTCTCACACTTGCTAACACCTTTCGTTGATATCTCAATGAAGTGTCTTTGTTCACAGTCTGTATAAACTTGTTCTTAATCCCAAAACTTGGAGAACAGAATGTGAAATATCTCTGCAGCTACTGTCATCGCTGTTTTCAGTGCATCACTTGATATGTTGTCTGAACCTTCTGCTTTGACGATCTGCATTTATCTGATGGCTACGCTGATCTCTCCAATTGTTGGTAGGTTAACATCACTGAAGTTTTCGCTTGACTGGCTCCTATATCTATGATACTGCATATGACCAGTTTGTTGAAGGCATATAGGTTTGCGAATCTCTCACCACCTTTGTTACTTTCTCTCGTTCCATGTTTTTCCATGATGTCTTCGTATTCGGTGTGTAGAATCCTTTTTGAATGTTTTGTGTTTTGGAAAATCCCTCCATGTTTACATATTTTTGTTATGACATGACGGACTTTTCTGTTGACATTTTTGGTATTTTATTTGATTCCAATTGAGATTTTATCATTGTATATTGTTATTATTTCTATATTTTGTACTTATAGTGAAGTTTGTATGTTTGCTTCTGAACTGTTGTTTAAATTTGATATAATATGGCTACCGCCACATTTTTGGATTTGATATCGTGCAGTATAGGAGTTCACCTAGACTTCGGATCCTCGATACTCATTCAGAGTAATTTTGAATTGGAAGGCTTAAAATTTGTTAGGTACTGTTTGTATTTCCATTTATTCTCTGTTAATAGACCATTTTCCCCTAGAATTATTGTGTTTTTATATTCTAAATCGGAAAGTGCGTCCGACATACGTCTATTGTAATCGAATTGAACTGCTACGGTAGAAAATCCAATTACACAGTGTTCCCCGTTCCAACCTTGACGTTTAGGTCATAGGTCAGAATACTAAAATCCTTTACTGGGCATTTCTCTACTATTAACTAATGCCCCGCATAGAATCAATCTTTATCATATTGATTGTTATCGTTGGTACGCAAATAACACTGAATGACATTGATTGTGATCCCCTCTTTCATTGTTCTGAAAGATGATTTAATGATCCTGGATCCACGCGATTCCCATTCTATCAGTGAATTTTGTACTCGTTTGTATGGCATCAGGACAACGCCTTACGTATGCTAGGTCATTCTCATGAACGGAGTACAACAGCATCTCTCCTGAAGCTAATCGTTTTTGTCCAGCCTGCTTCTAATATGTTTCACGTATTTCTAGCACTTCCAGGTTGTATTTTTTCATTTCTTCAGGAAGTTGAATGGTTCATTGTCTTCTACATTGTGCAAACGCTCCACGTATCTATATGATTGTTAGTCTGGTTGTGAGAAGAGGCATCATCCTTGTGACTTCCTAAGAAACTCGGCTTTCATTACGAGATGTCATAACTCTTCTGAAAGAAGACGTAACTCCCAGGCCAAAGTGAAGATGGTTTGAACTATGTTTTCCGTTTAGAATTTTTTGCGAGTACGTTTTCGGCAGAAACAGTTTGCTGACTTCATTCCCATTCATTCGGCTTTATCCAGTCTTTGGACTGGCAGTGGCGTTAGCAGACCTACAGGTAGATTTACTTGTATTCGACATTTGTTTTTTTATTCGTGCTGATTAACAATATACTTCACGTGTCAGTCGATTAATGCTTATGCTGCTTTTATTAATTGTTTGAATAAATACATACTAAGTTCACTGTCTGTTATGCTCAATTGGCAATGGCTTGCATTAACTTCTAAAAACACCTCGAGATGCAAACTAATCTTCAAGTCATTGACAACAAGCACACAGAAAAACTTTCACTACTTGTATAAATTCTGCTTCTGTAAACTCCAAGTAACACTTATAGTTTGGTTTAGAACTGTGGTGACAATTAGTTCTGCAAATTTTTGGAAATAATGCTTACCTCGTTAGTTTTAGTGGCCATACCCTAGGTTAAGGCGTTCAGTCATATAAACGTACCAGATCACAGGTGGATACATACAAAGCATACAAGGCATCTTCTTGTGACAAATAGCCAGCTCAGATAACTCTTTCCGATTTCCTTTGTTCATGAATTACGGTTTCAATGGGTTTTGGTATTTTCGATTTAAAAGATGTGGTTGATGTCCATGGCACCTGTATTAGTGAGCGTGAAGAGATCTGGAAAAGTCGGTGTGGTAGCACGAGTTTGTTCGTTGTCATAACGTTATACATATACGAAAATTTTTTAATATCGTGATAGTAAGCTTGTTTTCGTGCTTTTTTCTCTTATTTCTATACGTATTACACTCTTATTATGTCTGAACACGCACTTAAGCTTCTAAAGATTAAAGCTCTTCTGCCCCCAAACTTCCACCTACCACCATTCTAGCCTGTGATCTAGAGTCTGACGTTCATGAGCACGGCGTGGCAGAACAATGGGCACGATTTTCTGCTGTAGCAAAAATACTACCCTGCAAGCTGATAAATACTTCAGAGTATGTTTATTGACGATATTATCGAACCTTTGGCACTTTGAAAGGGAGAATTCTTGAGCGTAAGGACCTAGCAGATTAACAACCGTTTGGCCAACTGCAACACAAATTCGAATCGTAATATGCCTCGGCGACTGAAGCGCTGCTATGTATATGAGAGGCTATTGACTAAAGAAATTTCGATGGTCTCCTCGGCAACCCTTGTCTTCCTGTCCAAACGTTTCCAAAAGGCGCAAGCTGTTTCCGTCTCAGTTTAAAATAATCTTGAGAACAAACTGGCTTCATCTGCTGATCTCACTCGGTTAATCACCAGAGCTCCGTGCTTGCCAAATTCTGTAATTCTGTAACCTCAGTAGAATGGTATCTTTGCAGCTCTTTCGCTTTTTAATTCTTCCGTTTGATTGGTCAATTTGCAGTGATGTATCTGGTTAGGCCGACGTTCTGGTTGCTACAAATCAATTGTTTTAGTTAGATTTTTCAGTCATTGATCATTCAATGAAAAATCTATAATCCTACCCACAGTTCATTCGATTAAAGTTCATGGGACTATTTAGGATGGATTCAGAGGTGCCTAGTCCCAGATGAAAGAAAAAGTTAAATATGCCGACACCCAATGTAAATATATATAGCCAATATAAGGTCACTTCATATTTTATGATGAAGTGAGGTTTGAGCGTCTTAATCACTGGTGGTTTCATTAAGACTCTAGGAGACTTTATGAATTGACCGTAGAAGCAAGCTTGTAGTAACAATTCGGGTACCCAAGAAGAACTAGGGTTTACAATGAGCATTTTTTATGGATTCTAAAGAAAGTGGACAAATATCGTAATTGTTCCTTCTTTTCATTCTAATATTTCTGGCATTCTATGTAAGGAGGATTTCTATTAGCCTATTCACGATTCCTATGCAAGGGTTATCAAAAGGTTAAGATATAATTGGAAACGAATTATTTCCATTTAATAATAATATATTTATACTCAAATTACAAGTCAAATTATTACAAATGCTACCATATCTACCGTAAACGTTTGCGCAGTAAGTTTAAAAATGAGTATCTGTTTCTGGTAGCACATTTTTACCATATCACCGACAGGGGCGGCTTCATACTGCCACATTTTCAACAAGTGCGAATAGGGTTGCTGCGCAATATAGTTCTTGGGTGGTCTGCATAACTTAGGGGTGAATGTGTTGGAAAGGCGCTCGATATAAGCGCTGACCTAGACATGCGCGCACTTAAGTTATATTTTGTCGATTGGCAGCATGGTTGATCCGCTGCTGATTGGGTTTTGGGAAGCTAAAAAAAGAGAGATAAAAGAGAGAAAAGAGCAACGAGACAATTGTAGATATACAACCAGAGCATTACTTAACCATTCATGGTGATGTAGACTATGCAGTAATAAGTCAAGATAGAATTCATACCCACCAATCAAACCGAAGTAGGTTGTAGTAACATAACCCACAAATGAAGGAGTAGAGATATGATGAATAATCGGTTGCGACGCAAGACCAGTGGATAGAAGAAGCTGAATGTGTGTACATTGAAACCGAAAGTTCGTTAAAAAGGTAAAGTTTGTGAAAAACATTGATAATCATATTCTTCACTTTCTATCATTTTTTATAATCAAATGCCAAGTCCTAAATCAAACTGTAAGTGCCTGAGTGAGAGTGTTGCAGGTTGTCTTGGCAGAATAGCGACCGCAGCATATTTTTTAAAAACGAGTCCCGAAAGTAATAAGCGTAAATGAGCAACCTCAGTAATAATGATTATTCTCCTCATCAATGAGGAAGAGTCGAAATCAAACAAAACTGTTCTGTCCCACAAACAGGCGGATTGAAGTCATCGCCCTCACCACCCGTGTTTGCTGGTAAGTAACTCCACCCTTCCACATTTGTGTCGTTAGGATCATGTAAAATTATTGTAAGACAATGTTGTATGTTCTCGAGGCTCAATATTTCAAATCTTTTCGAGAAACACTATTTCTGAAAGTTCCTCTTACAAGCTTATCCGGCTGCTACAACTTGCGTACTATGGACTAGGCATCAATGCAATACAGGTTACAGTAATGGAGAAAATAGTACAGATATAGCGAGGAAATATGTTTGATGAAGTAAGCAGGGAAGTTAGTTACAAATGAGGCAATAGATAACGAGATTGAATCAATGGTAAGTCAACATAGTACACGTGAGAACAGTCAAACTGATAATAAGAAATAGGAAACAATCCTCAAGCTAATTCAGTACGAGACCAACCTGTGGACGGGGCTGAGCAAGATCACAGCACCAGTCCGAAGGCAAAAAATACAGGTTATTTCATTGATCTCAGTTTAGATACCGTCGCAGAAATTACACTGAAAAGAACAGCTACAACACATGATCTTAGCCCGAAAGGATGAGAAGCCCTCGCATGATCATCTGTAAGTAGCACCGTTTTAGATTTGATCGTACTAGGAAAGTTGGTAATAAACAATAAATCATTCACGGGATCAGCCTTTTTTCGTACTAGTTGTCAGTGAAGATCGGTCGATCGATCTAAATGCCTAACCATCTGACACCAAAATGCGCCTGCGGAGTTCAGGAGTTGGTATGAAATATCGCAACCTACTCTACCCTGTTACGAAGTCATTCATTTGTAATTTTTCTATTACCTGCACGAATCCTTACGAAAGAAAGGTTGATGGGTAACTGGAAGTTTCACCTTGTCACTTTCTGTGTACAAATACAACTATGCCCTAAAGGTAGTCTGCCGTCAGTGAAAAAGCACTTGAAGTGATGGAAGCAGCAAACTTATCGAACGAGACGGATGAGCTGAGTGAACTCAGTAGCTCAGCATATGACGGTTTCTAAAACATGAGCATTTTTCAGATCGTGGACAGAAAATCATGGCCAGACTCGGCACAACGTCGCGGTGCAAGGCCAGAAAAATTGGAGCATGGAGTGGGGCAGCCTCGCATCTACGATCTACTCAGTAGCACATCAAGTCTACACCTAAGAGTTTATCAATCCTGATCAATTTATGTTTTCCAGTGAAACTGTCTAAGACTATAAGATATTCAGTCAGAATCATTTACCGACGATAACTCTAATCAATATCTTTTCCTCAACCTCATTGAAGGGGTAGAGCCAATCGAAAATGTTAGGCTAGCAACTTCGTAGATAAGCGGCCAGGTACCTTGAAGCTTAAACTGCGTCTTCGTAAGTGTAGATTACCTAATCCGCAGTCTCTGACTCCCTGCTCTCCTGAAAGCAGCATTCAGAATGCCACAGCCGTCATTTTTGTCCGCGAAATTGAGCTACAGAATGTTCTGGAGGGGTTCATAAGATTTTGCTTTTCAAAACGAGGAGATTCAACTGCAAAATCGTGCACGGAGGACAGGTGACAGAGTCATTCAAGGTGAAGACTGGTGTCAGGCAAGGTTGCTTACTCTCACCCTTTCTCTTTCTTCTGGTGGTTGAATGGATTTTGAAGACGTCAGTATCTCAAAGGAGGCATCTGGAGCGAAGCACTGTATTCAGTGGACAGCTAGGGTGCAGCTGGTCGATCTGGACTTCGCAGATGATGTAGCTCTTCTATCGCAAACGCAACAACAAATGCAAGAGAAGACGACCAGTGTAGCAGCAGCCTCTGCATCGGTAGGACTCAACATACACAAACGGTTAAAGCAAGATACTCCGATACAACACAACATACGCCAACCAAATCACACTTGATGAAGAAGCTTGAGAGGATGCAAAAGCCTTTGCATATATGGTAAGCAACACTGATGCACAAGGTGGATCCGACGCAGGTGTGAAGGCTTAGACCAGCGAACCAAGGGCAAGTTTTCTACAATTGAACATCTGTAACTCAGAAAAACTATCAACAAACACCAAAGTCACAATGCCCCATCGAGGGTAATTGGCTTAAGTAAGTATAAAGGGGAAAACCCTTCAGATACAAAATAGATTGCACTGATGCCAACCAATTTAGCACAAACAGCACTGATGAGATGGAACTCTCATTGATCCAGGATCATGAATGCATTCCTCAAAACAAAGAGATTGAGAGTTACAACTAAAATTTTCTAGCACTTTGTGCTTACCAATGATTACTGAGAAGATGAAGTTAGTCGTCTAGAAATGCTTACGGAAGAACTGGTTTGCCAAGTTGGCAGTAAAGAACACGGATATAAATACATAACGGAACGACAGGGACTGAGTGAAAGGATCGAAAACGGTAAATTATTCTCCAGCTTTTGTTCATTCGAAGAAATTGTAAGTGGCACTATCATATTCCCACACAAACGTATTCACCAGGCCAAATGGTTTTCTTTGGACGGCACCACACAGAACTAACCCGACCAAATCTGTATAAATTACCAATTCGGAAGGACTATGCAGAATGTAAGAACAAAAGTGGAGCTGAAGTAACTCCAAATCCTTACTTAGCTTTGATCAAAACACAACTGAAACTAAAGAAGCACTGTAAAACTGAGCGAACAGCATAAGTGAAAGTTTAATACGGCCTTTCTTTGGAGCACTTGTAAACCCAGCGAATTCATCACAGCTCTCAGCAGCAGGTTTGAACTTTTCACGATCTACTCAATGAAGAGGAAACTTCTATGGAGTTAAATTGGATAGGGATCCAGGAAGCAATAGCTTCTACAGATCACGAGGTTTTGGGCCACAAGAACCACCTTCAAAAGGCATGCATCACTGAGGATACTCTGGATAAATTTTAAAAAAGGTAGAAAAAGAAAGCGGCAAACCACATCAGCCTAACAAGAGCAGAGAAAGTCAAGGCATGAGCTGAATACACAACAGCAGACAAGCATGTGAAGAATAGCATTGAAGCTGACAACCACAACATTTGTGGGAACATAAAACAATTATATCACACAACAAAAAGGCTCTCTGGGAATTTCTGTGAACCAGGACAACCAGTGAAAATCGAGGAAAGCAAAATTATCACTAAAATTGTAGAACAGCGTAGCAGAGGAGGAAAATACCATAATGCATAATAGACAAACCTGCTAATTACGAGTAGTTAAATTCTAGTACTCTGCCAACTGAAATGGTTCAAGGGTCTTCCTGGCAGTCCTTTAAAAAGAAGCTTGATGTGTTCTTAGACATTCCGAGGTTGTTTCATTGTAATTTGATAAAATGTACGCTTTTTTATTAGTCAACCTGGGTTCCTACTTAGATACATCGATGAAACAGTGCTATTAGATATGAAAGCCTGTTGAGGGGATGCTCCTTATATTCCGTCCGCAGCCATTTCAACAAATTGAATTATTTACTTTCGTGCAAGCTGTGATGTCCGTGTAATTTCTGACTATTGCTTAATTTTTAATAGGAATGGGAAGTTATTTGAAGTATGGTTAATTTAATGCGTTTGCTGGGTCACCAGCTCACCTCTCTTATTTATTTTTAGTTCTTCCAAACCTAGCTATTTTATTTGCTCTCCCGTTACACAGTGTGCCTTCCATTTGGACGCAAACCACCACATAATTTGCGAGTCTCTCAGGATATATATCTCTGAGCTCTGGTCAGTGCTTTGCCAGGTGTAGCTATGTAACGGTTTATAATCTTCACTCCGTAAGCTCTGAGTTTACCTTTCGATATTATTTGAATCCGAAGGTCGTGCAATCTATGAATTTCGTTCATTGCTATCTTTATTAAATATGCGTGCATTGTATGCGCTTGTTGGTTCGTCGGCCCGTCCACTCTTCTGTCCATCCATTTTCCTGTTCTCCTCACTCATTCTACTCTGCATGTTCTCTTAGTGTACGACGTATCTTCTTCCTATACGTGATAGTAGTGACCATATCTACACCTTTACACATTTTTCTGCATTGTAGTACCAGTAGTCCAATATTACCTGCATGACTAGCCTTTTGTGTAGCGGGACTTCGACTGACCAAGGTTATTCGGCGAAGAGCGCGTTATGTGTTGTCGCTAGATCGGTGGTACTGTCGTCGCACATTGCTCTCTACATATTATCTTTAAGAAACACTAAGGGGCTCTAAAACAGTTATTTTGAGCTCTAATGAATAAAAGCGTCGAAAGATTAGTATCGGTTGTTCTTGGCGCCCAGTGGGGAGACGAAGGAAAAGGGAAGCTTGTTGACCTCTTGAGTGAATCTTCGAGTGTGGTCTGTAGGTGTCAAGGGGGAAACAATGCAGGTTAGTTAGAGAGTTTGTTTGGAATACTTTCAGGTCATACCGTTGTTGCTGGAGGACAGGAGTATTTCTTTCATCTGCTACCAAGTGGTATCGCAAACCCTAATGTTTTGGCTGTGATTGGCAACGGTGTTGTTGTGAATTTGCAAGCCCTCTTCCAAGTGAGCGTCTACTGAGTCTAATTTCCACCACTTAAAGGAGATTGATGAAGCTGTGAATAAAGGATTACTAGATGTCACTTCTCGTTTGCGCATATCTGATAGGTGCCACTTAGTATTCGACATTCACCAAGAGATTGATCGCATGGAGGTAATGCAACTGTGCTCCACTATTTTATTTCTTAGGAGGAGTTAAGGGGTGTAAATTCTCTTGGAACAACCAAAAAAGGCATTGGTCCGACGTACTCCTCAAAGGTAACTCGCAATGGTCTGCGGGTGTGTGATCTAATGGGAGACTGGGTACAGTTCACAGAAAAATACAGACAACTCGTAAATTATGTCAAAAGACGATATCCAAAGCTTGAGATTAATGTTGAGAAATCATTAGAGGTTGGTATATATTTAAAATCAATGTTTCTGTATTTTTCTAACTACGTGTTAAGTTATTTCACATTAAGCAGAGTATCTTGTTCGCAAGCCTTCATTAAAACCGTTAAAGCAGTTAAAATCCCCAAGTGTAATGTGTAATAAAGCATTTTGAGAAGTATGGACAGGAAAATTTCTTCTTGAGAGACCAATCAAGTTACTGGTCTAACCTTAAAGACCTTATCAGCTTAAGACAATTGTGAGGAAGTAAAAAGACAACTTTCCAAAGCTGGTTACATAATGCCACTTCTCTAGTTTCTTTGTTATCTTCAAATAAGTCAAATCCTACCAGCGTCTCTGGAAGTCTTTAAGCAAACTATATTATCCTCAGAATCGGTCTTTCCCAGCCTCCTCATTTCGGAAAGTGTATGTCACTGAAGATCCTTGTTATCTGTTGGAAAAATCACGCATTATAGTTAGCAGTACTGCCTTACCTCATACCGTAGACATACTACTTTGGTCATGTCTAGCGCGCCTTTCGACTTTGTAAAACCTCAAGCAACATGCGATTTAGAAAATATGGTACTGTTAAGTCGTTACAATAAACAACGTCAACCACTGGTTTTAAGTAGTACCTAAAGTTGAATAAGATCTCAAGTATTCTGTCTAGTTTTATTCTTTGTCAAATGTTGGCGCATATACGAAACAAAACCATTCTTTCTCATGTAGTTAGGAGTTAGAGATTCTAGATTAAACTCACTGAAGAGGAAGATAGCTTAGTGATTAGTGTGTCGGACTTTTAACCACTAAATCCCAAGTTTCGATCCCCCCATTGCCTTTTGTTTGTATAACTAGTTTTTGCGTGTAGGCGAATTAAACTCAGTATTGATTAATGAGACAAATCCAGTGATCTATCAGTTAAATTAGTTCTTAGAGTTCATCCGATCATTCTGCTTTGCTAGTCAGTATTCATCTACTGTCCCAGTATTCTTGATGGTCATCAGTACCTGTTTTACACTCCCTTTGCTGATTCTAAATAAATATAATGTTACCCATCATCCCTATTTTCCTCTTACATTCACCGCTAATCATTGTTCACAACAATTTATCATTTTTTCAAAGGTTCTGAATGATAAATATATTCATGTTTCATACAACCAGATCCTTTGGTAAATCTAAACAGAGCAAAATCAACAAGGTTTGCAGGATAAAATGAATTTGTTCTATTTCACGGTTTCTCATGAAATGTATACAGCCTAAGATTACAATTATTAATGTAATTAGTAAGAAATATTCACCATGCTTTAGTTTGTTGAATTTAGATAAGTGTTCAGAACGTAATTATATTGATAATCGTAGTTGTATTTAGCCGATAAGAAACTGTGAAATAGGACGAATACATTTTACACTGTAAACCTTGCTGTTGTTTTTAAATATTCATTTTCTATGGGCTGTTAGTTAGTTGGTCTGTAAACAAGTCTTCAGTTTGATATCTTAACGTAAACATTCAAGTTTTCCTGTAATTTTCTGGTGCCTATATGAAACAAATGAATATGTGTTTACCTGGTTGGATTTCAAATACATACCATAGAATAAGCATTAGTTTTTTATCACTTCGCTACAAAAATGACTGATTAGACTTATGGCCTATTAATTTATTATTATTTAGTCTATGTTGTGAGTCTGTAGGCTAAATGATGTCCGTTCCTATGTTCAAAGTTAGTACTGACTAAAATTGAGCTATTATCAGGGTTTAGTTTCTAGAATCTCACCACTAATTATTCATCAACATTCAAAGTTGCATTTATATGTAATTGTGAATATCTTATACTATCTACTTGCCTTTAAAATCTTTTTCTACAATAACTGCATCTAAAAACCTAGTTTCTGAAGGAGTTCAATATGATATCAGTGAATATAATTTTAATTTAACCCGGCTTGTAGTCAGTCGTTCCATGTAACAGTATTTCAGAAATTTCACTGCATGATTCAAACAAACAGCGTAAAGTTTGTTGTTCACTAGAATTCAGTCTATAACTGTGTCTTACATTAAAAATTAGTTCTATACATGCAAATGACAGATGACAAAAACTATTACAGTTGCTTTGGCTTGTTGTATCGGAAATAAGGGAAATGCTATTTTATAATACTTCGTATCACTTGACAACTTTACTAATCGGAGCGTGAAAACGATATAATTCAATTCAGCTCTGATCTCAAACAGGTAATAAGTTGATGATATTCGTTGTTAGAACTTCGTAAGAAAAGACCAGAAGTTCGAAGACTCATAAACTACTGTTTAATATTTTAGAAATTTGATTTATTGAATTCATGATCTCTTTACTGAAAGCTTTATTAATTTATATATATGTATACCTGGCTTTTCTCAGGAACTCAAAACCTATCGCCAGAAGTTGTCGGGGATGGTGTGTGACTCAGTCCTACTGATTAATAAACTTGTAAGAAGTAAGCAAGCAAATATTTTGGTAGAGGGTGCTCAATCCTGCATGCTGGACATTGATTTTGGGACATATCCTCATGTCACTTCTTCGAATTGCAGTATCGGAGGTGTATGTACCGGTCTGGGACTTTCTCCTTCTCGTGTTGGTTCTGTATATGGTGTTATCAAAGGTAAAATCGCTAATTTTTTTCTGTTATTTTTTTTCCAAGTCTTATCTATTGCATATATAACATGGCAATCGTTTTGTTGCCATGTATTCTATTTGGGAGTAACCTTACATTGCCACAACCGTCTGTGAACTTAGTCCTTTCGTTTATTGCTGAATTTGTGGACCAGTGATTAAAGCCTTCGATTCAGCCAATAAGTCACGGGGTAGCACCCTATATTACCTACCTCGATTTTGACAACTGGGATGTATTAATAGCTCTCGTATATACTATAGCTTAATGCCAAATGCACGAGTTTACGCTTGGCAAATAAGTCAATAGTAGTGGTTACCGAAATGCTGGCACTCATTGACTACCCACTCCAACCGTTTTTCTCTATCTGATAGAGGGATTTATATTAACTTATCATTTTTACTTTTACGATAAATCACGCACAAGTATATCGTCTAAGTTCGCTCTTTTTGGATTTAGCCTCACATGAAGACATTTGTTTGTTATTTCGGATTGGTGAAATAAGTATCTTCTGAGAATACTTACTGTCTAACTCTGTCCAATGCATGGTAACAGAAGTAACCATCTATCTTCAGAATTATTCTCCCACCCTGTAGTTAGCTAATTTATTTTTAGTATGCGAATAATTTAGGACTATTCAGTGAAAATGCTGTTAGAATAGAGGATCCTCTGAATTCTACAAACCAACACTTTGCCTTCCAGATGAAAGGTAACTCAGTAATACTGACTACAGCTCGTGTGAAGAACATCGTTTTCACTAGTAGACTAGTCTTTAACAAGATGTTTCACCGTATTCAAATGTAGCTTGATAAGTAAACCATATCAAGATTTCTAATTAATAGCTACAGTCAGTTACTGAAGCTTCTGTCTGGCATATATTGTATTTAACAGCTGTGGTACAGCCGTGAATGAGGGAGTCCGCCCTGCCTCCCGAAATGCTTCTTCATGACCACACATATATAGCTACTGTCAAGGAAGTCTTACTCTTTGCCTACTCACTACGGTGGAACTTATGAGAACGATAATTGACTGTCCTGCCAGAGCTTGAACTGGGTTAGTGCTTATGCAAGATCCACCTAGGGGAGTCGGAAAACCCTGATCCCAAACCTTTAGTGCACACGAATTCCAGCACCCAAAGGAAAAAATGACATGTGAATCCATTGTCAGTTACTGGTTGCCGCGTGACCATATCTGTCAGCTTAGTTCCATTCCCTTGTGGGTTAGACCTTTGGGTAAAACCGCCTGCTTCAGTTTGGGCGACAGGGCTGTACCCTAGCTCACTCACAAGTCCAATTATTTGTGTGACGCACAAACACTTTGAGATTCCAATTTGCACCAATGTTTTTGTGTTTAAATAAGATAAAATAATAAATTTCAAGATAGACACTTTTGTTAAATTGAGCTAACTAGAAGAATCACTTGAGAACTGTTAGTGGGACATAGGTGGAATTAAAGCATGACTAAGTTGCTGTGCGCTGATTGGCTAATTTCCTATCCAATCAGCACCCGATCGATTCTTGGAGAACAGGATGGAAAATTCTCGTGTTGCTAGCTGCACTGTGATTGGCTAAATCTGATCCATTCGATCACGTGAATTACTATAAAGAAACTAACGTTGTATCTATTTAGCCTTCGGCTTCGTATTTCCATTTAACCTTGCTATTTGGAATATATATATATATATATATATATATATATATATATATATATATATAATTTTTATTCTCTACTTACTTAAACTATGGATGTAAGAATCCGAAAGCTGTGAACTCACTTCCTAACGACAGCATTGCTGACTCGGCTGTATCAGGATATAGGAGCAATGCTTCTAAGACATCTACGATCGAATACTAATAACCTACAAATGTCCTCTATTCTTAATGGCTATGTTTCGCACCCATAAAGTAGGACGGAGCGAACTACTGCACAGTACACCCGTCCTTTAGTCAGCAAACGGATATCTCGCCTACGCCATAAATGACGCAAGTTAGCAAAATCCAATCAAGCTTTCTGTATCCGTGCTGAGATTTCGTCAGTCACCAGGCCATCAGCACTGATGAGACTCCCCAGATAAGTGAAGCGGTTTACACGTTCGACTACTTCACTCCCTATCATCAGTTCAGGTGCCGTTGCAAGCCAATCTTGAAGCAACATTTTGCATTCCGAGGTGGGGAATCGCATCCCGAACATGCTTGCATTGTTGCTTAGGGTGGTTAGAAGTTTCTGCATTTTATCGGCGTCTTCACCAAGTAGAACTATGTCATCGGCATATACTAGATCAGTAAGCGATTTTCCTAGTAGAAGGTCTATTCCCGATAAATCTGACGAGGTTAATGTTAACTCTAAAGGGATGTCTACGACAGAGTTAAACAAGAATGGAGAAAGTGGACATCCCTGACGGACACCACTTGAAGTAACTAATTCCGATCACAGTTCGTCATAAGCTGTGAATCGACCAGTGGTGTTCGAGTAGAGAGCTTGTATAAGGGTAATGTGTTTCTCTGATACGCCTTTTAATGACAGACACTGCCACAGAACCTCACGATCAGCAGAGTCGAATGCCTCTTCGAGGTCGAGAAATACTAGTATTGTGGGGCGTCTGAACGTGTGTGTTTGTTCTAGGACCTGACGTAGTGTGAATATTTGGTCTATACATTCACGTCCAGGTCGAAAACTAGCCTGGTTTTCTTTAGTCTGCTCTGCACGAGCTTTCGTCAAGCGTTGGAGTATTATTGAGGCTAATATTTTAGAAACTATATTACTTAAACTGATTCCTCTGTGATTGTCACAAGAGGAATCAGTCTAAGTAATATAGTTTCTAAAATATTGGCCTCAATATATATATAATCCTTTCATTAACTATTTATATACGTCATCAGAAAACAAAGTTTATCCTTTAATGTCTGAATTTTTTTGTTGGTATTCGAACCTATCACTGTCTCACCTAACATGATTATAGGTTATAAGTGTTGTGTGTGGTTACATATTACGATTATAGGATATTTGATTATGAAATCTGTAGTACGTATTAGAAAAATGAGAATAGCTTATCTTGCTGACTGAAGTTATTCTTCACTGTTTTATTTTTAATATCCAAAACTTATCTCAAAATGTTTTTTCTTTTCATTACTCTATCAGCTTATACAACACGAGTAGGCTCTGGTCCTTTTCCTACTGAGTTATCAGATGAGGTTGGTGAGCTTATTCAAAAGAAGGGACGTGAATGGGGTGTAACCACCAAACGTAAGCGACGCGTCGGTTGGTTAGATGCAGTGGTCATACGATATGCACATATTATCAATGATTTTAGTGCTCTAGCTTTAACGAAGCTTGACGTGTTGGATGACCTGGAAGAGGTAGCTAACTTCATATTGGTCATTATTTAGTTATTTTTTCATTGCATATATAAGTACAACTGAGTACCGAATTAATGTGTCGCAATAATAAGGAAATGATTTGATGAAGAAATGGAGAGAGTAGGGAGTATGTTATCAGAAATAAAGTAAATAAATAAAGCAATCGAAAGACCACTCGACTCCACAAAACTACATATAGTGCTTCCTACGCACCCGGCAGTGATATTGAGGCTGAAAGATGAATCACCTAGTGTGACCATGTTTTGTATCTGTCAACTCATTTTCTCTTGTGGAGTAGTTCATATTGATCGAAGTTCTGGCTAGGCAAAGGAGTAGTGAAGGTTATGAACAGCTCAGTGCTTGGCTATTTAATGCTAGCTGGTTATATTCATTTACTGATTATAGTGCCAGTATCAATAAATCTTCCTCAATAATTTATCGGGTCAGTAATCTTCTGTCGAACTCGGTTCAACTCAAAATTATCCAAATGGTAAAAGTTATAGCCATTGGCATTAAAAAGCTGGAGCTATGTTTACAAGAAAAATACATTAAGTTCCTTCTCTTACTGTAGCTTACTCCAGGACCAACTAACCAATCGTTATTTTAAGTGTAGCCACCATTCATCTCCTGAACATGATCAATTTACTTGGCATTCACCCTACTTGAACATTACTTATCAAGTTTATAGAACATTATCCACTAAACATTCGATCGAATTCGTTAATTGCAGTATTATTTCTATTAGCCTGTCTGATCCATTTTTATTCTGATCATTGGTGTCACAAATTTATTTGACGTATGAGGTTATTCAGGTTAA